TATTTACAAATATTTTGTGGTATTAATGGTTGTTGTTATCTTTTCTCAGAGATTAAATTAGTTGACTTAATTATTCTAGTCATCTGTTACTGTTAAATCTAAGCCTACTTTATACACAAGCATGACGCAAAACATTTTGCGCTTTACCAACGCTTTATGCTTTATCATTTTAGCCATATTCAGACGTTCGTGATCAGCTAAGTTTTCATTGTTAGATTAAACGTCCTTCAAGTTCCAGTTGCTCTTTATGGAATTAAATATTACTGTATTTATGTAGAATTATATACGCTCAGTGCATTGTTGCCCAATGAAAGCTCCGGTAAGAGAGCCGAAAGCTCGCAATAAAAGTATTTTAACGTAGAGAAACGTCCGTTTATAATTCAACATATTAATTTACCTACGTTATGAGACTTAAACAACTATTAGTATTAGTTTTCGTTTTACGTCATAGCTATCCCAAACTATTGTAGTTATTTTGTTGTTGTTTTGCTTTTCTTCATCCAGATTACGTAACATAATTTTGTTGATGAGGTTTCAAATCGTAAATGAATAATTTAATTTAATAAAAATAATAAACATAAATCTGATGTTTAATGACTTGAATAAAATCGATAAAAATTACAATTCACCAACTTAAACTAGTTCACATCAAAACAGTTCTTGTTCAAACATTTGATGATCAGGGCCTTTTTATCTAATGCCGTAATGGGCAAGAGGGGCAGTTGGCCAGGCCCACCCCGAGTATAGATAATAAAATAATAATAATAAATCAGTTTTTAAAGAAATATGTTTTTTCTTTTCTATTTTCTTAATTTTTTATCACTAATAAATTCAGTTTATCAAATTGTATGGTATTTTCTTAAAAGCAAGGAGAGCCCACTAGTTCATACTTTGCCCAAGGCTTACCACTCCCATTGCCTTAACGCATCACCGTTGATGATATACACAGTGTCTCTACCACTTCTATTCCAGACTTATCCCAGCCGGCCTGATGAGCACTAGTATTCATGAAAGACCTCTATATAGTGTGGTTGATATATTATTATATTTTTCTTTATTTTAACTAAAAGGTTATAATAATTTTACTTTACACACACTTATTTTTAACATCACTAAACCAACTTACAAAAAAAGAACAAAATACCTACTAAAAAAGAGAGCCCAATAAAAAACGTGGAAGAAACTGGAAAAAATTCATAATATTTTAAAACCACTTTTTGGTTGACTGTCACATTTCTTCTAAACTCTTTCGAAAACAAAACTAGCTGAATCTCAGGATTCGTAGCACTGAGATTTTTTAAATACTAATTAAATGTAAAAAAAAAAGAGATAAAAATAAGAATGTTTCCACTTAGCCTTGGAGAACTCGGTTGTGACTTTTAACATGATGCAAGTGAAATTTTCTTCTTTGTATGACTGTGTGTTAACATATTTGTGGTTCAGAGTTTAGAACTTCAGTATTCTCTGTGCGAAAATATACAACATATGAATTCCTCAATGTTTTGACAACTGATAAAATAAAAATATATAATATCGTGTTAATTATGTATTCATAACCGTATTGGATCCAAATAATATTGTATGCACAACTGTTATATAATATATTTTGCTGTATTACTAGTCTTTGTAAGTTGTTCTTTTTCTGTGTAATATGGTACAAAAAGGCTTAACTACGTTGATTTATAACTTGACCTACCCCGGTGGCCCAGCGGTAAGTCTGTGGACTTATAACGCTATAAACCGGGTTTCGATACCGTATGGGAACAGCATAGATAGCCCATTATGTAGCTTTGCGGTGAACAACAACAACAGACAATTCATTTGGTATTTTGTTATTCTGTTAACAAAATCTATGTGACATAAAATAGGAATATAAATAGTCATGGAAACACAAGCGATACACTTATAGTAGTTGCAAACAACAAGTAATGACGATTACATGACGAATTAACGAATAGGAGTAAACATCTCAGATAGTGCTAGAGAAAAGTAAATAAGTTGTATAATGCACTAGAATGTAAGTCTGTCAGATTTTAAAAAATAATATTATGTATATATATGGTTTCTGTTTTTTTTTGCCAATTGTAGAAATAAATGGTTCTTTACTTATATTTCGTAACTGTATAAATATATATATATACTATGTAGTTGTTGGGCTTAGGATTCTTCTACAGTAGGTGTCTGTGACTTGTTAGCGATAATTTCAACGATGAATAAACAGCATACAATTTACTTGTTTTCAAATAATATATATATTCGAAACAAGTTAAAAGTATGTACAATAAAGTATTCACACTATAGAGAATATAAGCATATCTTAAACGTTATATCAGTATATGTATAGTTCTCCTCTTCTTGTCAAAAATCCACTTAGACCTGTTCAATTATTTTAGATTCTCAGTTGACAAGCCGAACTATTTTCTCTAATACTATCGCAATATTAGTCTGGTGTGATTCACTTACGACTTTCTTCTAAAGATCCTATGTTCCTTTTGTCAAAGTGCACTCAGGCTGATTCAATTGCTTTAGAATTTCGCTTTGACGGAATAAACTATTTTTTTCTTATTTTAATTTCCACTTCTATTTTCACTCTAATATATATGGCCCGGCATGGCCAGGTGGTTAGGGCTCTCGACTCGCAATCTGAGGGTCGCGGGTTCGAATCCCCATCACACCGAACATGCTCGCCCTTTCAGCCGTGGGGGCGTTATAATATTTTAGTCAATCCCACTATTCGTTGGTAAAAGAGTAGCCCAAGAGTTGGCGGTGGGTGGTGATGACTAGCTGCCTTCCCTCTAGTATTACACTGCTCAATTAGGGACGGCTAGCGCAGATAGCCCTCGTGTAGCTTTGCGCGAAATTCAAAACAAACAAACAAACTAATATATATATCAAACGTTATCACTTTTACGTTACTTAACTTCACACCAACTATATTCTCTTTGCTTTTATCTGTCTAATACTGTCTGTCTGCTGCTTCCCGCTCCTGTTTATTAATATGAACACTTGTTTGAAATCTGGTAAATTACGTTACGATATAAATGCTTTGTATATTTAAGACTTTAAATCTAGACAAATTATTTGTAAGTGAGAAACTATGGAACTGCGAGTTTCAATGACTGTTTTAGTTATGTCATGATATAAAAGAGTGTTTGGTTTAAATATTAGTGATTAATTTATATGTGTGAGTGAATACTTTGCTATTTTTAGGTTTTGTTATAATAAGAGTTAAAAGCAGACGATTGTAGAAGGTTTTGTTAATAACTAATTGGTGTCGAGAATATAGAAATGGCCAAACGACTATGTAATGAAGATATAAATAGCGTGAGACAAGACAACGATGAATTTGTCATACAATCAGAGTCAATTTTACGAGTGAAATATGTGTTTTAATATGAAGAATTAGTCAAGTAAAACACGCATATTATCACACACACATCTTCCACAAACATCACGTTTTAATGTCCAAAGTGGAGTTTACCAGATTTTACCACTTACTCCACTTTTTGTTTGTTTGTCATTAAGCACAGAGCTACACAATGAGCTATTTGTGCTATGCCTACAACGGGTATCGAAACCTGTTTTTTAGCGTTATAAGCCTACAGGTTTACCGCTAATCTACAGGGAGGGGGGAAAAAGGAAATTAATGCATCAGTAGTTTCTATCATTTTACTTTTATATAAAACAAAATCGACGAAATTTTTTTCATATATACGAATCTCCAATAATTTCCTATCTAAGTCATACAGGAACAATGCCGCTGCTGGTATACACTATGGTGACGTCATATACAACCTTCGCAACTTTTCTTGAGGTACAATACATGATGATAGAAGTACTTGATCTATAACCTGCATTTAATATCTACATTTAATAGTCAATAAGCCACGCTCATGTATATCTACATTTAATAGTCAATAAGCCACGCTCATGTATATCTACAGTTAATAGTCAATAAGCCACGCTCATGTATATCTACAGTTAATAGTCAATAGGCCACGCTCATGTATATCTACAGTTAACAGTCAATAGGCCACGCTCATGTATATCTACCTGATGATGACAAAACCTTGTCGAAACGTTGTACATTTTGCTGTTATGTTAAACTTATATTAAAGTTTTTCTTCATTACCCATTCAAGCCGTTTCCAGCCATTATATATCTACATTTAATAGTCAATAGGCCACGCTCATGTATATCTACATTTAATAGTCAATAGGCCACGCTCATGTATATCTACATTTAATAGTCAATAGGCCACGCTCATGTATATCTACATTTAATAGTCAATAGGCCACGCTCATGTCACGTTAACCACCACAGTCACTAGTCTTTCAGCACTAGCATAGTTACCTCTTGGTACGAGATAGCTCTACTTTACTTTACCTTGACAGAATGTTTTTAGATCAATATTACTATACATTTTGTCTTAAGTCTGTATGAAAGACTGCAAGGTTCATTAATACTCTAACAACATCGTTACTTCTTAATTTAAGGTTCACAAACTGAATCAGTTCAGTTCAGCAAAGAAGTTACAATAAAAATTGTCAATGGTTTTGGTTTTAGATCTGTATTAATACTTTTCGTGGTATATCCATATTTTAAAGTTACTTTTTGGGGATTTGTTTGTTAATTTTTAACATTAATCTTCAGTTACCAAGAACTTCTGTGAAAAGTTATTTCTTTGTAGTTATGATCAATAGACCATTAATTGGCAATATGCAAAATCCAACAGGCATATAGAAAACGAAACTTAAACCTTAGAGTACAGCCAATACTACAGTGGGGTGGCTTTAAAAAAAAAAATTTGAATTACATGAAAGTCAGCATTTATTAGAAACAACCAGATGTTAGTGGACCTTTTGACTTTCGAAAATATTGGGGTGAGCATTGACCTCCCATAACTGGCTATATTCCTGCTTAAATTCAATGGAAAATTGAATTCTTTACTAATTATTATTTTTTATTAGTGAGAAATATTACACAAAGACAAACCTTACCATGGGGGTATGCAACCGAGGAAGCACAACTCTTTGAAACTGCACCTGCAAACATGCATTCCAAGAAGTCTCTGCTAGATTTGAGGTCAGGGTCACGACAATTTCTATTCCTCAGAAATGAATATTCTTGCAGTTTTGCTTTTACAAACTCATAAATTACAAAATGTATCATAGTCTCAGAGATACCATAGTAGGAAGCACTTAAACCTTTGTAAAATCCTCGTAGACCACCAGTGTTGTAAATTTGATGAATACAGGCTCTTGTTGAAACACTTGCAAATGTCCTGGGTAAAAAAAACAAAACAAATTTTCTTAATTAGGAATTATTAAATAATGTTTTTATTATAAATAAAATGTTGACTGATCAGACAGGGTTATGTGTACAATATTTTGTCCTTGCTTCCTATTCATAAACTAACACTATGTTCAAATCAAAAACTAATATGCATTTAGTTTATCAAAGTAATATTTTAATTTCGATGACGAGGAACTCACTTTGAGACTAATAATGCTTGGAGACGGCTTGAATGTGTAACGAAGAAAAACTTTAATACGAGTTTAACATTGTACATTTGCTGTTATGTTGAACTTATATTAAAGTTTTTCTTCATTACCAATTCAAGCAGTCTCCAAGCATTAAAAGTAATATTTTGTTATGAAAAAACAACAACACACACATTTACCCTTTAGGTTACCTTTTACTCACCCAGGCATCATTATTAATTTGGGTTGAAAAGTATGGTACAAGGTTACCCCTTTTCAACCTGAAAACGTTAACTTAAAAGTCAACCCATAAAACAATTGCACTTTTCAGTAAAATATCCCAATCAAGAAGTTAGTTAAACAGGAAAGATATGAAAGTTGTACATTTCCACACAAAAATCTCTGCAATTTACTCTAAAGTGCCATTAATACATTGTAATACACTTGTACAAAATGCAGGATAACCTAAATAGTCTGATATTCAATAAGTTTTTTAGTGTAAATGTCGTCTTACTTGAAATCAAGGTAAAATGTAGAGACAAGTATGCTGGCACGAGCATAATGATACAGCAAGTAAAATTTTAGTCTTTAATAACAGAGGATTAATTAACCACAAGCAGTTTGGATAAGGAGCTTTAGTAACTCCTTAATGTATTGAAAACTTTCAATTAATATCAATCAAAAAGCAGTGTCCACCTAGTATTATAAAACTCAGTTAACTATTGATTTGAGATTAAGGCCATAAATTACTACAATGTTGTGTCTATTATTATTATGTATACTTGACTGCAGAGTTCTTAACATAAACCTCCACACTATACAGTAAATTGGGAACTTATACAGCACAAACACAGAATTCACAATTATTAATTAAGTGTGAATTACTCTGGTGCTATTCTTCATGTGTGACTCGTCAATACCAAAATATATGAGCTGCTCGTGCAACATTCTTATAACGTTTGTAAAAAGTGACAATTATTTTTACCACATCCATGGTAGCTATAGAGTTGAGTTTTTTATTTTTGTGAAAAAAGTAGCTAAATCCAAAAGGTTAAGCCCTTCATCCCACATTCACGTGTGTTTCTGTTACTCTCGGGTCCGATATTTTACATATTTTTAGTTTTCCAACTCCTTAAACTGGATAAATATAATGAAAAATAAATCTAGAGGTTAGGTAGGAAATACCATTTCATGTTTAATTTCAAGTATTAATTTTGTCCAATTATTATATATTAATGAAATAAACATTTTTAATTTAATCTTAACACCCTTACCAATTTAAACTTAACATTAACAGGCATACTTGAATTTAAAATAGTTAAAGGATTTTCTTTTTTTTCAGGTTCAATTCTAGGAAATATGACCAACCATTTGTTTTTTCAAATTCATACCTCTGGTCTAGCTGTAATCTGGTCTTCACTACCCAGATAGGATTAGTTAGAGAACAAGACATGAATCCTGTAAAGAAAATATTATTGGTCTAAAAAAATGTTTCATAAAACATATTAAATTTATTCTTTATTATTAAACCATACATTATCTATGAAGAAAAAAACTGTGGATAAATATTACCATTTCTTCCTTACTGTACATTTTCTTTATTCATTACAAGCGTGTGTTACGCCAAACATAAAATAAATTAAAACAGTACTTTTGTTTTTTAAAGTTCATTCTTTGATCTACGAGATTTAAATCTTTTTTATCTGTATCTCTCCCCCTCCAACATACATTCAGCCTCATCATAACCGATAAAAACAACAGCACAAAGGTTTGTATGTGTACTGTGGTTGGTCAGTTGATATTATATGGTTGATACTAGAGAAAATATTACAAAGAAAACTGAAACGACTAACTGTTTCTTTCAGAGTAATAATTAAAAGTTAAACAATGTTCTAAATGAAACAGATATATCGTCACCTTTGCCCCTCTCTGTATATTACAAATTCAGTGGTAATAGTTTATTAATATTCCTTTCTAAGAACTTATTTTCTCAAAATTAACATTGCGAACAATTCAAATATAAATTTTAAATCTTTCATTTTCTAATAATAAAAAAATGAACCAAGTTGCATATATATCATCTAAGCCAAATCCAATCAGATACCCATAAAGTTAATATATACTACAGGAGACTACAAAATCAGGTTTGTCTCCAAGATATTACTGAAACAGTCTAAAATGCTTAACATTTAAAAAGTGAGCTAAAATAATCCAAAAGTCCTAGCTAACAAAATAACTGATATATTACAAATTAAAATGAAATACTTAATGAATGTTTAATAAAAATATTTTTAGTAACTTAAACAGCTTGTCCACTGAATATTTTAAAAGAATAAATTAGTAGCAACAATGCTATATATTTTCCAAATCCTATGTAAATATCAGTTCACTGTAGCAAATAAAAGACAAATGCAAACATCCCAGACACAAGAAACTTTACAAACCTGAGTGAGAAGCTAAGCCTTTTCATTGTTTCTAGTAATCGAATGAAATAAATGTAGCACTGTTTAGACAGCTTACTATATAATATAGTACGTTTACTTTAGACATCTTGTGCACTATGTAGTTATTGTATAACATAGTACGTTTACTTTAGACATCTTGTGTACTATGTAGTTATTATATAATATAGTACGTTTACTTTAGACATCTTGTGTACTATGTAGTTATTATATAATATAGTACGTTTACTTTAGACATCTTGTGCACTATGTTGTTGTTATTATATAATATAGTACGTTTACTTTAGACATCTTGTGTATTATGTTGTTATTATATAATATAGTACGTTTACTTTAGACATCTTGTGTACAATGTAGTTGTTATTATATAATATAGTACGTTTACTTTAGACATCTGGTGCACTATGTAGTTATTGTATAACATAGTACGTTTACTTTAGACATCTTGTGTACTATGTAGTTATTATATAATATAGTACGTTTACTTTAGACATCTTATGTACTATGTAGTTATTATATAATATAGTACGTTTACTTTAGACATCTGGTGCACTATGTAGTTGTTATGTAAAAAAGCAAAAACAATTCATAGAAACAAACAGGTATAAACTGTACTTATTAGCTGAATGTATGAGAAGTACGAGTTGAGATGCAAGATTCCTGTCAGTAAATTTAGCCCCAAGAAGATCATGCCCAAATCTCAAACTACAGCAGTAATACCAATAATTAAATTTTGATGAAAGAGTTAGCACAAAGGATCACATATAAAATGTAGTAGACTTAAAATAAGACCCAAAACTCGAGCACTTTCGAATATTTGACTGTTCTTCTTCAGGAGAACAAATGGTGTTTGTCAGAGCAGATTTTCTTTACTTGACTGAATGTAATATTTCGTTTGGTGTGTGGAGGGTGACAGCTTTGAAAATGTAAGTATTGTGGTCTATCAGTCGGTTTACGATACAAATCAGTATGTAGAAAACCATCTTTTAATGTCAGGTTTACCCTTTGTTATCCTGAAGAAGAATAGTCAACTATTTGAAAGTTGCTTGAGATTGGGGTCTTATTTTAAGTCTACCAATAATTAAACAGTCAGAGTTACTCACCAGGAAGTTAAATAATAAATATGACAAATAAAGAGGTTTTTTTTGTATATGTTTCAGATCCTTCATGCATATAAACTGTTTCAATAAACAAACTATTATGTTAAATATCTACTAAATAAGACAGAACTTACCAGCACTGGCTGCAGATAATACATGAACCCAGGGTGTGTCGGGTGTAAGGTGTGCATTACAAAAGCTCTTGGTTTGAGAGTACGTGCAAAAGTAAACAGCTCTAAAAAGGAATAACAATGAATACGTTCATAAGATTATAGTCAAACATAACACTTAACACTAGCAACAAACAGTTTTCCCATCATTACAAAAATTATAATCACAAGAAAAATGAGGTAGATGCTTGGACTCAACTTCTCTCTACTATTAAGAAGATAACTTCATACAAGTTTTGCATTTATTAATTTGTTGTCATTATTATTATTATCATACTATTTTTTTCCACTTGCAAAACATGTTGCTCCCTAACATTTCATATATACACACACACACACACATTAAATACGTTAAGATCAAACAGAGTTTTGTTTTAATTGTTATCATAAAACAGGAAACTGTTACCTTACATAATGTCTTGGAAACAAGGTAGTAAGTAGCCTTTACATAAACAGAATGTGTTGTATTAGATAGTAAGATCTCTTGGGTTACCTATATCTTCATTAATTTGATACTGCTGATTGGTTTAATGTTATGACCATCAGTTGTTCCACTCATACCACCAAGCATGTTCTCCTGACATCGTATTGTACGTTTGTTTTGGATAGTTATACACACAATGCTTAACTTGTATGTATGTTGTTCTGACAATCTGTAAATGAAACTATTTGTCTGTCATGTTGGAGTCGGTGTTTATAAATTGACACACTGGTTTGTAGACAAAGAAATTATATCAAAATTTCATTTTACGTTCTCTCGTGTTTAATGAACGTTAATTATTTCCTATCAAAATGTTTGATGGTAATCAGACTTTTATTACCCCCCCCTCTAAAGTTGTTATTTATTTATCAAGATTCATACAACATGTTTACTAACTTTGTTTGATGGTAATCAGACTTTTATTACCCCCCTCCAAAGTTGTCATTTATTTATCAAGATTCATACAACATGTTTACTAACTTTAGCATATACTTAATTCATTATTTTTGCTCTACTTGTCCCATCATGTACCTGATTTACTTAATCATTGCTACACATTCGATACATGTATGTAGACATCCAAGTGTCGAGTTTCCTTACATCTACGAGCAGTTATGAAATGTACAAATTTTAAACCTCAGTTCCCAACCGTAGTGTTTACTAGTACTACAAACAAGCTTACAATATATCAAAGGTATCAATACGGTTCAAAACTTTGTTCACATACCTAGATGGGGCAACCCCGACAAGGTTTGGACCCAAGCCTTTGAAAAGCGCACTTGCACCTTCATTCTGTACAATGTGTCTGTGGAGAAGGGAAAAACAACAAAAACACAATGCATATTTCAGTTTGTTTTATTGACTACCCATTTCACATACTGCATTTGTACCATCATATTTAAGATTGAACTTCAGTTGTGATATACTACATAATCACATTATTTCACATTGGGCAAGTTGACTAATTTATAAAATATTTATAGAGTTAAAATAATTTGTTTATTTTAGCTGAATCTCAGCGAGGAATATTGATCTAAGAATCTGTGGTTTTACAAAAGAAATTTGCAGGGAAAAAAACTAATTCTTAGGAAATCAAAGATGCAAACTTAAGAATACCATGTTAAATAGTCAAACAAAGTTAAAACAATTACAAAGTTCAGTGAGAACAAAATTTCATATAAAAAGTTACAGCCGAACATGTAACTTGTCTATTTTGACAAAGCATCAGTGCAGCGAGCAATATAAATCTTAGAATTTGTGGCTTGACAAAAGGAAAAACACGAGCTTTCATTTCAAACTCTTAACGATGAAATAATTCTACAACAACACTGGAACTTCTAAAAGTACTTTAAGCTAACTTTAAAGCACACAACTTAATAGTTAATCAACTTACTTGAGACATCGCCAAATACCAAATGACTGTTGTCTAGTGTTTGAAGAACCACAACCAACAGCTGGCGAGAATGAATTCTCTCTTTTGGCAGAGGTACAGTTTCTTAAAGTGATGCAAGTGTGAAGCCGACACTGGTGGCTAACACCATTCAGGCTACTCATGGGTCTAGGTGGAACTGGTGTTATGTTCACGCTACTGAAATTTGCAACAGACGACTGGAGTCGCGTTTTCACAACCTCTAATGGACATGTTACGATAGCACCCGTTGTTCCACCAATTCTACAGAATAATGAAAATGAAGGTCTTAATTTAAAAATCTACCAGAAATGTAGAGAAAAATCATTATTATGATGAACAGTATTTTTAATGTTCTTTCAAGTTAAGTACTTGTAACAAAATGTTATAAAGATGGATGTTTTGATAAAAAAATTTTTGAACATCTAACTGATTTAAGACAATTTAAAACTTTTACTGACATTAGCTACAAAGAAAATGTTTTAATAAGTATTATATGCAGTACAAGTAAGGCAAATAATTTCACATCAGGTGTAACTATAATATTGTATTGCTATATTACCAGTAAACAGTACAAATTTATAAAACACCTGTTGTTCTACATACACTAATGTTTCAACATCAAGACAGTACAATAATTAAACCTTCAAAACACAAAGAATATCACGAGATACAAACTTGAAAAATCACTGACCTGAACTTCCAGCTGTTATAGAAATTGATACAATAATTGTATGACAGATAATAACGCACCATAAAAATATTGTTGGAGAGTTTACTTCACAGCGATATCCTTTAGATGTTATATATAACATAAGACTATTGCCTGGATCACTTGTATTTCAAGACTACTAATACCCTTATGATATATAACATAACACTATTGCCTGGATCACTTGTATTTCAAGACTAGAAATACCCTTATGATATATAACATAACACTATTGCCTGGATCACCATATTTCAAGACTACTAATACCCTTATGATATATAACATAACACTATTGCCTGGATCACTTGTATTTGAAGACTAGAAATACCTTTATGATATACAACATAACACTATTGCCTGGATCACCATATTTCAAGACTACTAATACCTTTATGATATATAACATAACACTATTGCCTGGATCACCTTGTATTTCAAGACTACTAATACCCTTATGATATATAACATAACACTATTGCCTGGATCACTTGTATTTCAAGACTAGAAATACCCATTTATTCATATATTCATAAAACTTTAAAGAGACAATAAGGAGCTTATTAACCCAACAGAGACACCCCTTCTATATCCCTTCTACAACCACCCCTTAATACTCATGTATTCATCCAATCTTTTCTTGAACTCAGTTAATATTTCTGCCTCCACCACCCTCGGAAGCAGCTCATTCTAAAAGCTAACCACCCTGTTTGAAAAGTAATACTGTCTGAACTGCAGATGACTTCTATGATGCCAAAATTTGAATTTATGACACCTTATCCTATTGTTTTAAAAGTTTGATGGATCTATATTATCAATACCCTTAATAATATTAAACACATCAATCAAATCCCCTCTG